TCCTTTAAAAAGGAAGTTATTAATATCCTCCTGCCATTCCTCAGACTCATTTAGACAGCCTCATCATCCTCATATCTGTCAAAAGTCACACAGGAGGTGTCAGTGACTCACTGATGATTTAATGAATGCAGTGCTTTTTCGTAAAATAGGCTGCCATGTTTCAGGTTAGTTTAACACTGCTTTTGTGCCTCAAGCAAAAGTGCCTGTGTTATCAGTGCTCTCTGGATTTAAACTGCCTCAAACTTTATCAGCAAACTAAGAGGAAGAAATGAGCTCTGAAATGCTGGGGCTTATCGGGGCATTATGCAGTCAGAATCAAAAAGGTTCAGCCAGCAAAAAAATGGAAATATTGGCAAATAAAAATGCAAATAGGTGAGGGTTATTTTACAGTCATCTATACATTGATGAATTAAATTATGCTGGTTTTGTGTTTACTGGGGTATTTTACTGTTGAAATGCACTGTGACAGCATCTCTATAACACAGATCTGTATGTACAATTTTTCTATTTGTGTAACATAATCATTTTAACACAATTATGGCCCCAAAGAGGTTCTGAAGGATTTTTATGGGCTTTCTAAAGGTGTTTGAGTTGTGAATGTCTCCAACTCTGAACTACCTTCCCTCTGTTCCTAACAAGCCTCCAGATAGTCAGTCCCTATTGCCTTTGTTCCATTTTATCACAGCCCCTCTCCTTTTTAGCAACTAATCAGTAACAAAACAGTCTCTCTCTCTTGTTCTATGTGAGAGAGGTGTGTTCCCAGAGTACTGTGGGCGTGGTAGAGTGCTTTATGGTGGTAATGTATTTCCACTCAGCATTGCCATAGTTCATTTTTACGAGCAGGAGCAGGGCATTGTAAACCAGGCAGAGATAGCGCTGTGAAATATTCCTCCCTGTGTCCACAGCATGACCGCTGCTCTTGTAATTTCGGCTGCATTCTACCAAAATAAAACAAGGAAATTAATGTGTGTGTGTGTATGTGTGTGTGTGTGTGTGTGTGTGTGTGTATATATATATACACACACACACAGTGTAAAAGAAATCTGGTCTGGTTTTCAACTAAATTTATACGTGATTCATTGAATCATTCATTCGACCAGTTTGTTCAAATAAACACTTGCTGTGTTTGAAGACGCTTCCTATAACTTTATTTAGTGCACTATTTGAGGGAACAGCCATTTGTAGTGGTGTCCAAATCCATATTGAACATTATCAAGTGCTCTCATTTAGTCCCATAAAGCAGTAACAAGTGTACAACCAATGTATTCAACAGCTATCTGCTAGATAATATATATATATATATATATATACATGCACTGTGGGGGTCACACAGAATGAATTCCTGCATCTCGCCAGTTTTTTTCAACACACTCGTTGTATGAATTTATATACTTGTTTTCATTGACTCCTTAAAGTGGACTTTATTAGTGGACTAAAAAGGGAATAGTGAATGACTGTACAGTCATGGATTCATTTAGAAATGTGTCACTGAAGTACAAAGAAGAAAAAGTACATTTTTCTCTTTGCACTGCCCTGTGCTGCACTTTTTTAAATGCAAAAATACATTCTCTGTGCATGGCCCCTTTACATAGAAATACAAAGAGAAGTAGCACAGTGGAAAGGCTTGAATGCACTACACAACATTTTGTAACACTAGGTATCATATATTTTCAGACTTTGTAAATAGTTACAGAGGAAAAACTGGACATCATACACTATATGACTTAGAATCACACACAGACTTTCAGGTCATTCCCAAAACAACAAACTCACGCAGAAACATGTACATCATTGCTAGAAGATGCATGATAAATTAATACAAAATGTTTAAAAAGAAAAATAATAGCTCAAAATATCAAACATGTCTGATATCCTCTGACTGGATGGAATTATAATCTGAAAAATAATTTTGTGCCCATATACGCATTTTTTTATATATACATCTGTCGACTCAAATCTGTATTTGTTTGCTTCTATTTTCGATGGCAAAGAAAAAATGCATAATTAGTAAGAGTGCTGTTGCTGTGATTGCCTAGAGTATATAACCCTCTGAGGTGAGAAATTCGTGAGAAGTTTTGTGTGTTTCTTATTATGTGACATTGTTTGGATGTTTGTTCTAAGGTAATGATAAAAAGCTCCCCTTTAAAAAATGACAGGTGTTGAAAAGACTAAACATGATGCATATCTGTGATTTACCTCATGGCCACGTTTACAACATGAAACTGAAAGTCTACCATACTGTGGCATCGCACACCAACAAATATGCTGTTCACGTGATTAGAGGTGAAAATTATTTTGTCATCACCTTTTCATTCTATCTGCACAAATCATTTCTTGACTACTTTGTCCTTTTATTCTTCATTTTTACAGATGTCTTATTATACTACAGAAGCCCGGTATTGCAATGCATCTTCTTTTATTAAAGGGACAGTCCACCCAAAAATTTTAATTCTGTCATCATTTACTCACCCTCAAAAAGATCAATTTTGTTGCTTTTTCCTCTGCAATTGCAATGAATATAGACTGGGGGAAAAAAAAATCCAATAGAAATCCTCAAACAATTCATAATGGTTTAAATGGTTTGAATTGGAATTGTATTGGTTTAAATAGAAACTGTAATGGTCCCTGCGAGTCTCTACTCGTAATTTGTTGCTTTCTGTTCATGCCAGAACACACTACTGGACAGGGTTGCCAGATCTATGTAATAAAACCAGCCCAAGGGACAATCAAAATAGTCCAATACAAGCCCAAAAACCGTATCCAAATATCAAAACTCAACATATGCCATTCCCAAAATATATATATTTTTTAATTTGTTCTTTTGAACTATATAAAAGAATCCTACATTTTTTATACATTTTTAAAATCATGTTTACAAATTTATGCAATATGTCAAACCTTTAAACCATGGCAACTATACAAGTAGCCCAATTCCACTTGAAAACCGCAAACTTGGCAGCACTGCTCCTGGAAACCATTAGATAATGATTTTAATGGTTAACAGTTGATGGCTTGTAATGTTTGTAATGGTATTTGTAATGGAAACCATTAGAACGTCTGTGATGGTTTCTTCAAGCTTAAAGAAGGGCACATCACAGAAGTATCATAAAAGTGGTCCACATGACTTGTGCACTATATTCACAGTCTTCTGAATTCATACACGAGCATTGTGTGAAGAACTACTGTTCTTCACTGATGATATTCTCCTCCAATGAGCTGTTACAATGAAAGCTTGTTTCCGGCATCGGATGAATTCTGATTTAGTATTTATCTCACATTTCTTACTTTTTTCTTGCAATTTCTAAGAAAAAAGTTAGAAGTGTGAGATAAAAGTTGCAATTACCTTTTTTTAAATTTATTCTGTGGCGGAAACAAGCTACCATAGTTAACTGCTGCAACCCTCAAACTGAGTCAGTGAGCTGAATCAGTCTGATTCACAAATCATTTAGGCTGCCTTTGTGAACTGGATCAACTGATTCATTGTCAATATCTAACTCAAGAAAGATTTGTTCATATAACGCACTAAGTAGTGCTAGAACAAATCTTTCGGTCTAACATTTTGGACTGTTCCACACACAAAGCTTATTATATGGCTTTAGATGATTTGGAATAAAGCAAATTAGTTATATGGCTCTCTTTTATGATACTTTTATGGTGCTTTTACCTTTTTTGAAGATTTCATTGTAATTGCATGGAACCAGTACAATTTCTCAAAATGCTCCTTTTGTATTCCACAGATTAAGAAGGTCAGAGGTTTTGTACAACATGAGGATCAATAAATAATAAGTGAATTTTCATTTAAGGGTGAACTTTCCCTTTAATGCAAGAATTTCTCCTCTCCACATAACAATATAGATGACTATAGATAAGTGCACAGGCCCTTCACTTTGTTAAGCACATCTATATTCTGCATTATGATGCTATTACAGCATGACCAGAGACATGAAGCTGGCATTGATTTATCACTGCAGGCATTAGACATTGAAGCTCTGAAATCATTGCTGCAGCATGTGCCTCTATCTGAAATTAAGATATAAAACACGCTGACCTACACACCTTCCCTCTCAATGACAGTGACACACACACACACACACACACACACACACCTAAGTCTCCATACACATACCTGTCCAATGACACCGTTTTGCTCTCTAACAATCTTGCTAATTATAATTGTTAATTAATTTTCTCACAGTGTCCCCATCAGGAGACTAATAACCTACATTTTACATAATTAGACCTTCAACCTTTTACTCGCTCTCCCGTTCCCTCCCTCTTCCTTTCATCCTTTCCTTCCCTTCGCATCACCTCCTGGACTCTGTCTCACTCCTGTTCTCTGGATGTTAGTGGGTTAGTGTTATGTCCTAACACCGTTCCTTGCACCCTTGTCCCAATATAGCAACACTGTGGCCGGACCCCTCACTGTCACCCTTCCCTCTGGTCTTCCTCTTTTAATGTCAGTCTGACTGCCATCTTGTCTGCCTCCTCTCTGTCTCACATACACTGTGACCTGGTTTCAGATGCAGATGTAAGAGCTACAGATTAGAAATATCTTTCAAATATTCTGATTTGCTGCTCAAAAAACATTTATTATTATTAATAATATTTAAAATAGTTGAGTAAATTTTTTTCAGGATTGAAAATGTTTTTTGAGTTTCGGGTGACATGAGCGTGATTTTTTTTTTCTTGTATTAAAATTGTGCTTAACTTTTGGGGGTTAGTAAGATTTATAAAAAGTATTTATAAAAGGTATTAATTAAAAGGTATAAAAAAAAGCTTACTGCCCCAAAATTGAATGGTAATGGTTTTATATATGTTCAGAATGTTTGTATATTATATGAGACATATAATTTATGAGTGACATAAATTTACATTTTATTTACATTAATTGTGCATATGAAATTAGAATTGATAATTATTTTTGTTATTTATTTATTTATTTATTTGGGAAAGTGGCTAACAAATCTGAGTTTGAATGAACATGAACATGACTGTTCTGTCTGCATAAGGAGATTAAGCACCGTTAAATGCTGTTTAATGCTTTATGTTGCTCTTTTCAGGAATGCTGAAATTCCTGTCTTATTCTCAGTGGTTAACTGGAGCTGTCCTTCAGGCCTCAGAGTCCTTACATATGAACAACATGGCTGCCAAGACACCCGTCTGTCGAAACACTTTTATAGTGCGAGACTGGCAGTGTTACAGGCTGAGGCTGATTATTGATCACTGATCAGATTTCAACGCTTGTCTGCACTGGATGAGCTACTGGCTGACCGAGGATGAGCAAGCTGCTGGCCAGCATCTCCCTCTCTTTCTCTCTCTGTCCTCTTTCTTCACCCGCCCGTCATCTGTCTCTCTTTTACTCTCTAGAGAGGGGTAACCCAGATTTCAAAAATGAATTGCTGCCTATTTCTCTTCATCTACCCCCCCGCCCCCTCACTCTGTCTGTCTCACTTCACTTCATCCCCTCGTTCTGTTGGTAAAAACAGAATCAATCTTGGAAAGTGAAAATCGCCTCTTTTCCTCACCCCCTCTGTACTCTCTATTGGATAAAAGAATATACAGCCGTACACTCCTCCTCTCTTTCCTGGAAAGCTGCTGTATCATCCTTTCCTTCATTCTTAATTTCCTTTTTGGGCTTAGATTATTTTTTTCAGGTGCTTTCCTCTCTTGTAGACCTTCTGTTTGGTGAGCTTGTTTCTCTATTTTTTTTCCTTTTCCTTTTTTTATAAGCCAAGGATTGATTGCATAGAATAACAAGAGTCTTGAGAAGAAGTGAGAGGAAGAGAGAGGGGAGGAAGAGGAGAAACCATACTGCCACATTTACAGGTATCTGTTGTTTTTGTTCTTTCTTTCTTTCTTTCTTTCTTTCTTTCTTACTTTTATAAATGTAGTCTGTGTCACTCATTGGTGGATGTCCTAAATTCTTTGTGTTTCCTTTCTTCAGTCTCCAGCTCTGTAGATCTCTTTTAATTAATGTGACGATCATTTGTTCAGTGTTGTCTCCTGTTTGATTTGATCCTGTGTGTCATCATTCATTTCAGCTTTTCTTGATGCATTCTCTTTTATTAATGTGAGTCTGATCGATCCTAAAGCACTCCACTTCTGACTGACCTCAAATCAGCCAAAAAACAGCAGTCAGTTTATATAACAGATATTCAGTTGTATACCTTATTTATTGCTTTTTTTGTTTTTGTTGAGTAAAAAAAAAAAATATATATATATATATATATATATATATATAATATATATATAGTATTGTTTCAGTGGTAACATTAAATGTAACACCAGTACTGTATAATAATTATATTTATTTAAAATATATCTAAAAACATTTGTTTTTGAAATTTTAATTAGAATTTCACTACTGAACACTATAAAATTATATTATACTGTAATACTAATTTAACAAATTGTATAAAATTAGAATGTGGAGAGACATTGAGCTTGCAGAAAGTGTGGAAGAGCAGGTGGTGGGAATCTGGTTGACATGGAGAATGTAGGGTGTGTGTGTGTGTGTGTGTGTGTGTGTCTGTGTCTGTGTCTGTGTCTGTGTCTGTGTGTGTTTGAAGTAGGACAGAAGGTACACTAATCGCTATGCGTTTTAAAGTCCCAGTGGAAGTTTCTCTTAGAGTGTGTATTAACCTCTATTTCACTCTCTGTTTCTCACCCTCCCTTTCCTCCTCTTGGGAATCTCTTCCTTTTATTTCCTCAACATCACAAACTGAACTGCCATCACATCCTATTGAATTCCTTCCTTTACGTTCCACGTAACCTCTTACGCTTGATCTGTGTTTTACCAGACATTTTTCTTCTTGTTTATTCTCCCCCTTTTATAAATCCTCTTGTTGGTCTTTAACCCCTCGCGTGCATAAACCGTGCATCCTTCTCCCAGTCTTCTTCTCTGTGTCTTGCTCTGTCCTACTCAACTGGTAGCATGTCTACCCCAGTCTCTCCATCTCTGTCTCCCCTGGCCCTGTCCTCCCCATCTCCCTCCTCCTCCCCGCTCCCCTCTCCTCTTTCTCCTCCCCCCAGGCTGCCAGTCTTCCAGAGGAAGGGAGCTCTCAAGCACAAGAGGGTCATTGAAGTGAAGGACCACCAGTTCACAGCCCGATTCTTCAAGCAGCCTACTTTCTGCAGCCACTGCACTGACTTCATCTGGTACTTCACACCTTTAACACTGCTGGCCACATCAATAACTCCTAACATTATTATGCTGTAGACCTATACTTCTACCTTAACCTTTACACTGGACTGCATTTATGTATTGATTTAATCCTAAAATCTTAATGCCCATATCCTGATTCATATCATAACTCACTCTCAATGCTGTACTGGCCTCGTCATGTACTTTGTAGTTCATACTGAATTGTTATAATCTGAAGCTTCTTCAGATACAGTCAGCCATAACACTAGCTCATTATTTATGTATTAAAAGACCACATTTTAAAGTGTTGAGCGTTTATTTTTATTTATTTTTTTAGTTATTTTCTTTCAAATCGTTTTGTACTACACTATTGTTCAAAAGTTTTGGGTCGGTAAGATTTTTGAAAATGTTTTTGAATAGAGTTTCTTATGCTCCCCCAGGCCACATTTGCTTAATCAAAAATGCAGTAAAACCAGTAATGTTATGAAATATCATTTGCATTTCAAATAGCTGTTTTCTAGTGTAATGTTTTGTTGTGTAATGTTTTTAATATGTATATAATTTATTCTTGTGATGGTAAAGCTGAATTTTCAGCAGTCATTACTCCAGTCTTCAGTGTCACATGATCCTTCAGAAATCATTCTAATATGCTGATTTGGAGTTCAAGAAACATCTCTTATCATTATCAGTGTTTTTGTAGAAAATGTGATCCATTTTTGCAACATTCTTTGATAAATAGAAACATTTTTTTAAATATAATTTTTGTAACTGTATGCAATGTAAATGTCTTTACTGTCATTTTTGATCAATTTGATTCATCAATGCTGAATAAAAGTATTCATTTCTTTAAAAAAAAATTATATCTTACTGATCCCAAACTTGGATGGTGGTGTATGTACAAAAATTAAATTTTAAAAATTGCTATCTTCCAATAAGGCATATTTCCAAATAGACCATACATAAATTTATGCCGAAATGGAACTTAATCAGGTTTGTGCTTGAAAAAAAAATATCAATGTGGTAAGAATAAGTAATACACTTAATTCAACATATGCTGTTGTCAATTGTGTAAAGAAGTTAATTTATCTATAAATATTTCTACATTTTTACTGCAAAACAAGTCAAAAGAATTGACATTTACTAAAAGAGTTGACATTTATGAGTACACTTTCGATGACATACACAGAGAGGGCAGAAGAACACTGTCCCGCACGCGTGTTACATGACCACGCTTGTTCTCAGTTTCCTCCATGCCTCATAAACCTCATGCCCTGAGGGGCCTCCTACATTATGCAGTCCTCTCTGTTTGAGCTGCCATTTAACCACAAGCTCCACAGAACACGCTTAGAACTGCAACCGGCCATATGGCCCATGCATTACCCGCATATAGACCTCATGTTGTTCATTAGAACAACTCAAATAGCTTCTGATAGATGCATCTGTTTCTCGTTCTGTCCTTTCATTTCAGTTCATTGAAGTTTTATTGGTATGTCTATTGGAATACAGTACAGCATGTCCAAAGTATTGTGAAGTACATTTGTATATATTTTTAGGTTCATCATTTTCATGAACTACTCAAAGCACTATTAATCTACTATATGCAAGTGGTATAAGTACCATCAAAACATTTAGGGAGATTTTTAAGGAGAAAGACAAGACATCAGACTTTTACCATTACAGGGGCACCTAAAACACGTCAAGGAAAATTATTATTATTACCATTACTTTTTTGTACCTTTTTTTTAATGGTAATATTGTGAAATATTATTACTATTTCAAATACTCATAGTAATAATTTCTGATCCTTCAGAAATAATTTTAATAGGCTGATTTGCTGCTCAAGAAACATTTTTTATTATATTGATGTTGAAAACGGTTGTGATGCTTTATATTTTTGTGGCAACCGTGATACATTTTTTAGCATTCTTTAATGCATAGAAAGTTCAAAAGAACAATGTTTAATTGAAATAAATTTTTTTACAATTTTATATATATATTTTAGTATATTATTAGTATAGTATATTCATTTCATACGGTGAATTCAGGTCAATTCAACTGTTTTTTGGCATTGAGATGACTGTGTGACTACTGCAAAATTTACCTAAACTAACCCTACAGTATAAATCACTACTGAATCCTATTAACTTCGATCCTCTTTTCCCTCTCTCTGTCTCTTTGCCCTTGTCCTGTCTCAACCTATATTTCTGAGTATATGTTGATGTTGATGGCTCACAATCTCTCAAACCTTTTCAACTGGTCTGAAGGATGCTTATAAGGAGCCGTAGATAGTCTCAGATGCATTTCAGAGCAGATCATACCCAAGTGTTGGGTGTCAAAGTATCTTATTTTAGCACTTGAGGGATTTATTACGGTGGCAGAGAAGTGCAAAGCAAATCACAATTCTGAAAACAAAATAACAAATTACAAACGCGTATCCATCTGCACCACTAGAGCTGATGATTTATAGTCACTTTTAACTAAATGTAAATAGACACCCCGTATTTTTTATTCCATAGTAAGGGCAATTCATACAATACATTTAAACTGAGCTACTTTAATACCATCTCCGAACTTTCTACCACGACTCTGCTGTTCTTCCGCTGGTTCTTCCTGCATACGTTGATTGACAGATGTCTCGTCCAGTCAGCGGTGAGTAATCCCAAACCAATGGCGCTGTCTCAAACTATACCTACCTCTTCCGGTTTGTCTGATTTGTCTTTGTGTTTTCTGACTTGTTATTTTGTTTTCGAATTTGTCATTGTGTTTTCTGACTTGTTATAATGTTTTCTGAATTGTTGTTGTGTTTTCTGAATTGTTATTTTGTTTTTTAGACTTGCATTTGCGTTTGTAATTTGTTATTTTGTTTTCAGAATTGTGATTCGTTTAGCACTTCTCGGCCACCGTAATTTATGCTAAGTTGTGTTTTGCATAGCAAAGATATCAGGAGCAGAGCAACCTGTTATTATGGTGAACTGAAGAGCCCTTAAATTGCCTGTCAGATGAGGATATTTTGAAATGATCTTATCTGTCATGGCCTCAGCAGCTTATGTCTTCTGTTTGCCCTCTTTGCTCATACACTATACTACAGCTCTCTATGATCTTCTCCGTTCACAAATCTATGCAATTACACACAAGATAATTAGACGGCATGATGTGAGTTGTCATTTATGTTTTACAGGGGAATTGGAAAGCAAGGATTCCAGTGTCAAGGTAATCATTTTGAATGTATAAAATGATAAAATGATGACACATTTGACATATTTAAATTCATTCCACAGATTCACATTCCACAGACAAGTGCAGAAAACACAAAATAACTGATTCTGCCTGGGACTTCTTATCGTCAAAGTCTTTTCATATCTCCATAGCAGTCTGTCTTTTGTTTTCATGTACCATTTTTTTATGGGCTACTTATGAAATAAGTAACGTTAATTGTTATCATGCATGAAGATCCAAGGATGTAACTTAAGGGGTTCGATTGACGTCAGAGTTCGGTACGTTTGGATTATGTGAACGCGGTCTTCCGAACTCGGGTGCGCACCCACGAACCGTACCCGAGTCCACTTAAAACGGGTGGTCTGGGGTACGGCTCGCTGCTGATGTGAACGCAATTGTACCAAATCACGGAAGTGAACCGCTATTAATGGCGTATTATTTGATAAAAATGTGTGTTTGTGTGTGTTTCTGCAAGCAGAGAGCTGTATATCTCATTTCTATTCGCCTTCAGAGTTCTTTGGAGCATTTGCATAAGGCAGACGTAAGTGCCGTTATGTACTGAAGTTTTGGAAACAAAACCAACGGTTCAAAAGCATAAATATAAAATTGAAGAGAGCAATGCTACGCATTTTGCCGTCTTCTCCTGCGCCATCGTTACTAAGCAACGGGGTAAACAGCTGCTGGCTTGATGACGCAAACGAACCGCGGTTCGGACCCAAATAATACGCCTTGCTCTTTGGCCCGCATCACTCACCGCAGAGCAAGCCTGTTCTTGATAGATCTGCTGTGAAAACGTGGGAAAAGCCGACGAGGAAGAAGTTGGGGTGATGCGATCTTTATTATAGGTGGAGCAAAATATTTCATCGCTCCATCTATAGCGCATTGTGATTGGATGTTTACGCTGTCAATACAGGAGACAAACCAATGGGCCACTGGCTGCTCGCTGTTCCTGCGTGATGGTTTTCGGCAAAAAAAACAACATTCTGTCGCCCCCTTAACTGCGTCGGCCCACCGGGAAAATGCCCGGTATGCCCGATTACCAATCCAGCCCTGGTTCGGACCAAGCAATCAAACCAAGTGTGAAAGCACCCTCAATTACTCAATATTTAACTCTTTCCCCGCCATTGACGAGTTATCTCGTCTTTTAGAAGAAAACGCTTCCCCGCCAAAGACGAGTTTTTACGGCTTTTCGTGTTTTCACTGTTATACACTCGGGGGCGCTATTACACATCTTCTGAACGAGTACAAAACCTCCCAAACAAAAACACACGTGAACAGGACGGAAAAACTAGCGATCTCATGTAAACAGATGCATATAAAAAATAATGCGATCATCAGCAATAGACAGCATATAAATGAAAACTGCATAATGTTACGGAGTAAAATGTTGATCCAGGAAGTGGTATAGGCCTATATCTGTGCAAGCTTTGGAGGTAACTTGATGGAAGCGATTTACTGGATTTATGCTTTGATAATCGTACTGAATATTATCCAGATGTAGTTTTTGATAAAAATGTGATTTTCTCACCTTTTTACTCAAAATTATGCATTTTTAAGAAACCTACCTATATTCAAATCTTGATTTTTTTTTTTTTAAAGAATGCTTTAAGCTAGAATAAAACGGATTTTTTTGTTTAAAAGTAGAGGCTCTGATCTTTATTTTGGTGCATTGCATATTCAAATATTCATACAGACAAATATACTGGAGGCCATCAATTTTTAGTGAAAATCATCAAAATCGTTGGCGGTGGCTGGCAACTTTTTTCAAAAATGCTGGCGGGGAAAGAGGCCAAATTAAAGTGTAGGCCTCTATGATTGAAAAACCCATCAATTTGATCTGAATATTGGGGGAATACATGTCCCACTCGATGTCTGTAGTGGTTATGGCCCTGTGAATATCTGAAAGTGTTTTACTGAATCAATTAATCTTTGACGACAGGTAACGTAAGCTGAGACAGCAAAATCTGAGCAAAGCCATTTTTTTGACCCGACTTCAAGTCCCAGCTTGTGGTCCTTTCTGATCTCGTTCCTCTCTCTCTCTCTCTCTCTCTCTCTCTCACTTCTTACTTTTTGTCCGCTCTCTGTACTGTCCAGTATTAATAAAGACAAAAATGCCCCCCCCGCCCCCAAAAGCGTTATATACTTAAATTCAGCATAAAATGACAATTCACCATTTTTACAAGCATTATTGATCTTATTGTAAACGAATCATCTATGCATGTTTATTTTTTACTATTATTATTTTTACATTTATTCATAATTTTTTGTTAAAATATTATAATCATTTAGTCTGCTTAAACTCCACCTCTTTCTTATAATCAACTGCAAGCTCACATTCAGATATGCCTCCATCCAATTAATAACAAATGGATTGAACAGTGTCCTTGCCCTGTATTTATTTATTGATAATCTGTTTCACTCGGATACATGTCACAATACGGAAGAAAAGATCTGACGCTACTTACATTACATCACTACATTAAAAAGACCTGTACCAATTTAACATATTCCCTCTATTTAATCCCACTATGTATTTTTGCTGCATCATGATATGTATCATGAAATATGACATTTAGGGCCAGATTTACTAACAGCTTGCGCCAAACCCTATCTGCTGCAAACTACTGTCAGGATACGCATTGAAACATTAGTGATGAAAAGGCGTGGACACATTTATTTTTGCAGCTGACCTGATTGCATATGCATTTGTAAGAGTTTCCCTTCCAGAAGCAACATTTATGGGAGGAGAGTGTTTAAATGAATCATGCAGGGTGATTTACTAAGGTTTGCGGTAGTCAGTTTATTGGTATTTACGCTATTATTTAACGCCCAAAAGAAGCATGCACCAATGTGATTATCATCAGCTCTGATATAGTATGTGTTTACTGACTAGATATGGTATGTGTTTCTTTTAAGTGTGCAGTTTTGTGGTGCACAGACGCTGCCATGAGTTTGTCACTTTTACTTGTCCCGGAGCCATCACTGCTCCCAAAGCAGAGGTATGTATACTATGTGTGTTGTTCTCTGTTAATTTGTACAGTATAGTAATAAAACAAACGCACACCTTTTAGAGGTGCAAGTTAAAGGGGCAAACTAAATAAAGAAAAAATATAACTGCACACTCACTTAAGTATCGTTTATTAGTTACCAACATTTCGGCAAAACAAGTAGCCTTTGTCAAGGTATGTAGGTTGTAGGTCATTTGTACAGCATGTCATCTTTTTGCCATTTAGCATTATTTTTTTGTTATTATTTTTCTTTTCCTTTCATTATTTTTGCTTGATCATCGTATAACTCTTCTTTTTATGCTTGATGTTCTGCTATGATCACAGCAGTTCATCTTTTATTCTACTGTATCATCCATACCCTATCCGTCTCTCACCTCTTCATTCTCAAATTTTTGCATGGCAAGCCATTTATTTTTTTGGCTGAGTAAGCCAATATGGAAGTAGGTCTCACCGTCACAATCATCTTTTCCTTTTTTTCACGAGCCTTTTATTGCTCTCTCTTGCATACCTTCTTTAAAAGAGGTGGCTTTAAAGGAAAAAGAATATAAATTTTCCCTCTCTCTTGCGCTCTCTTATTCGTGCTGCACTACGATAAAACGTACAGGCGATGTGATATGATGGTGTTACACTGCTACTCACACTCACGTAGTGCAGAGTGTGAGTGTGAGAATATGTGTGAAAGAGAAAAGCAAGGAAGGGGCTATATTGTAACACACTTCCATTGTTCCAAATCCTAGTTAGCAGCCTAAGTAGGCAGCTCTTTTCATCAAAGACATCATGGGCTGCTTCCAAAGGTTGTTTCAAAAGGCAGACAACTTAATTTTGCTGCCTCCAAATATACTTTCTTTATATCTCCAAATCTTTTGTGGGGAAGGCATTCATAAATGTGCATTATAAACGTACTGTATATTTCATTCAATACAATTCAAATGTTTAGAAAAATAATTCAGTGTAATTAAAAATGGATTATCTTACCCAATATCTGTGTTTGTATGTATTATGCATAATATGATATAATATAATATAATATAATCAGTTCATCTTTTATATATAATATAATATAATACAATTTGATATAATATAGTTATAAAATTATATGATATTATATTGTTAAGTTTATTCACTGTTAAGACCACATTAACTAAACTTTTTAAATGATTTGTGCATATACAACTTGTTAGCATTTACATTTAATTCTGCTAGCCATGCAAGGATTTATAAATGACTATAAATTATACTATAATAATATTATTATTCAAGTAATTTTATTATTAGTATAACTTTTCAATGACTTGAATTTTTCAAACTTGTGGGAGTCTCTTGCTATATCCTGTGTGTTGCAGTCATTCCTACATTGCATTGTGACAATCTCGCTGAAAAAAATTAATCCAAGATGGTGGACAAAGTGAGATAAATGTTGATTATGTTGTATATTTCATTCAATACCAAAAAGTGTTGAAAAAATTGTTCAGTGTACTTAAAATGTATTTTTAAGAATATATTTGTGTATGTATTTTATGATTAGAGTATCACACTGTTAGCTTAGCAACATGCTTATGTGAGACTCGTTTGAAATCAACGTGAAAGTGAAGTAGTGTTTGCGTGGCACATGGCATGTAAAGCATTCCAAATAAGTCACTTGTTAAGATGCTGTCTTAAAAGGCTGCTTCCTATGTAGGTAGCATGGCAGCATACTAGGTTTTTTTTTTAACAAAGCCACAGTCTTTATTTCACCCTCTCTTTCAGGAGCATAGTTACAACTTTTTATGAGATTTTTTTCATAAGCACCTAAAAATATCGTTGTAAAATGAGGTAACAGAGGAGTGCTTGTGTATGGCTGTGCATGTGCGACTAGGCTGTAAGGAAGGGTAGACAATGATGCATGTGTGAAAAGCAGATGAGGCAGACTGACAGAGAGGAAGAGAAGTGGTGAGGAAGATTGTCAGAGGATGAAGAAAAGGAGCAGGCAGCATGCAGAGAGTGAGAATGAGGGGGAGAGAGAGAAACCATGGCAGGGTGGAAAGGGTTTAGGCATTTAGGAGGATTCAGTTTTCACAGCTGAGCTGAACTCATATAGTCATCCACCATTCATCCTCAAAATAGCCCTAGCTAATTGGCTCCCACTGAAAACGTCACTTCAAAATGAAGCCTTTCCTCTGGACCTTTAAAGAGAGAGAGAGAGAACCAGAGGGAAAGTAGTGCATCTGTTTATTTGTGCATATGCTTGTCTATGCATAAAGATAGTCCTATTTATAGAGCAAAGAACAGTATGAGAAGGTTTCTTATCATACACATAATTTAAGTCTCTTTTTCTTTCTCTCATGGCCAACCTACTTCCAAGAACTGAACTGGGTGTACATGGCGGCCCTCTGTGTTGAATATAATCGCATCAAAGTGCTTTTTCCAATAAACAATTAAATAATTAAATGAGTACAATGTTTTTCTTTGTCCCTCTCTCCAGGATCTCAAGAGCAAACACAAGTTTAAAGTACATACATACTCCAGTCCCACCTTCTGTGATCACTGTGGGTCTCTGCTCTACGGCCTCATACATCAGGGCATGAAATGTGCCAGTGAGTCTATTTATATAGAGATCCAAATGAAGTTCATCTAGACTGTAGACTGACATACATTATATCTTTTTTATTTTATTTTACTGTTAAGACCACATTAGCTAAACTTGGAAGTTTTTGAACAATTACTTGGTAATTAATTTACTTGAATTCTTGGTGCATGTTAGGATTTACAACGTAATCCTGCCAGCTGTGCAAGTATATATAAATGACTGTAATTTTTCATATTTATTCATTTCAATTTCAGTTACATTAAATATTATTATTAAAACTTTCAGTGAATTGTCTGTGGAAGTCTCTAGTTCAAATACAATATGGTAAAGAACAACATTCATGTAGTTTAAACAGTTTTATAACACCTTTAGCCTGTTTAAATTTCAGTTTTACATTTTTATCAAACCTTAGATCTAAATTAGCATAGCATAATCATCAAGACTACTGTTATTAAATTAACACATAATTTCATGTAATTATATGTAACTGTAGAGTGATGTTTTTCAAATTTTAATATATCTCATACTGTATATTAGATTGAATTAATTCCCTTTAACTCTGGTTCAATCCATTTAATAACAACCATGTCATCTAATATCATTTGCATGACATGATCCGCTTTCAGAAAGTAATAAAGCAGGCGGTGGAAACTGACAGCACTTGCTGTTTCAGCATGTTGTCTCATAAAGTACAATGTTCTGCAATGGCTGTTAACACTGTTTATGTTAGATTTAAAAGGTTTACAGTATTAGGCAGACTGCTCTTTATAATTATTGTTTTTGGACTAGCGGGAGACTAGGTCATTTTTTCTAGGTATTTTTTCCTTACACTCTTT